TTTTTTGAGGACTTTCAAGAGTATGGCCTGTTGTCCACATGGGCACTCAGAGGGCCTTAGCAGAGGAATCACAGCCTGGTTCTTTGTCCCCCCTGCCCCCAACATACTCTACATCCTTCTCAGGGAGGGAGTCAGAGAGGCCTGGGTTTTCCACCACTCATGAAATTTTTTTTTACCTCTTTGGCCTCCGTTTATGGGAGTAACGGTACCTCACAGGGTTTGGAGAGGACCAAACGAAAGAATGTAATGTGCCCAGGGGGAAGTTACCATCTATTCATAGCAGCTCCTCTTACCCCACTTCTAGTGACTTGAGGCAGGCCCACAAAGTTAAGTGGAAAGCACTGGACAGATAAACCTTTCCAGATTCTAGTTCTGAAGATGCACTGGAGACCTAGGGGTCTTGAGTGTATCCCAAGCCCTCGGCAGCCACAATCCCATAACCTCGTTCAGCCAGGCACCCCATCCTACTTTTTAAAGTTGCTTTTTATCCATTAATTCTATAAACATTTCCCGTGTATCTGGGACAGAAAACGCGTAGGCCGCAGGGTTAACAACCTGGATTCCAAACCTGCTACTGCTACTAAATACCCGTAGGACCCTGACCAAATTAATTAAACTCTTTAGGACTCAGTTTCCTCATTTGTGAAATCGGGTATTAAGTGCAGGTACCTCGTCAGCAACAGCAGTCATAACAAAGAGTCTGGGGGCAAATGCAAGGTACAGGATCGGGGGGTGGAAGCTGACGGCTGCTCATGGCCTACCCTCCTCCCTCCCTCCACCAGGACATGGTGACCCACTTCGTGAACCTGAGCCAGGCGAACGAAAAGGGGATCCCGCTCTGGGAGCTTGAGTACCGGTTGACCGAGGCCTACGGGGTGCCCGATGCAGGCTCCCGCTCCATGCACGCGGCGCTGGGCCGCATCGCCAGCGACCCCGGCACGTTGCAGCGCTACTACGTCTACAACTCGGTCAGCTACGACAGGGAAGCCTGCGACCCGGCCTGCAGCGCCGAGCACGTGTGCGCGATGCGCGAGGTGGCATTCGACGCTTACGCAGCCTGCCTGCGCGCCCCCGGCGCCACGCCCGCGCCCCGGCTCGCG